TATTAAAAGGAGAACTTTTGTGTTAATATTTCTTACTCTCATTGCATGCACAAAGTTTGTTATAATAAAGGAGTTTATATTTGTTATTTTTATTAGTTAAAGAAACAAAATAAAACCCGTTTTTTTTTGTTGTGGCTGTTGACTAGTTACTGACTAGTAATAAAAAAAAATAGTTAAGTGACTTTTAGGAGTGTATTTTGAAACAACCACAAAGGCGTATCGTATTAACCTATAAAGATAAAAATGCATAAAAAAAACGGCTTTGTGTTTTTGTATTTAGTCATCTTGTTTATTGATTTAAAAACTAAAATACTCCAAATGCTAAATTAAACAACAAAAATGTTTTTGTTAACAAATAACAAATCTCACAAACATGATATAATTATTGCACTTCCCGAAGTATTAATTAATATTAACAAGAATATATTTCTAGTTTCCCTTTAACAAATTTATACTTAAATATGGGAGATAATTAACTGCACTTAGGCAATCATTGAAATTATATGTTGTATTGTTAGGAAAATATCCCCTATGCTAAAGACAATTTACCTAGCTCAGATTGTTACATCATAAGGGTTAGATGGGGGAGAAATCATTTACGTCCATATTATAATTTTTTTGTCTATATGTTTATTTTCATTTTGCAACTAAGACGGCTTATTTACGATTATATGTTACGTATGGTTTTAATAGACTTTTAATTATCAGGTATTTAATGTTATAAATCATATTAGTCGACTTACGAATGTATAGAGTAAGATGAAGTTATCTTTTTTTATTCATATTGGAATTATTCGATATTTTAACAATGTTGACATTATACATGGAACATACAATTATGTTGTCTTGCAGTTTTCAATAAAGATATTCTTCAGGCTAAATTAATAATAGTACCTAATACGGGTTTAAACTTAATTTACATGTCATTGACTCCACAACCCGTACCAGTCTTTGTTGTTTTATGTTTTATCCAATAATTTGTCAAATTTTAGACCAGTCTAATTTTATCAAAAGCGTTAGACTGGAATTCTGAGAGGAAGAGGAAAGTAGACAGGTCAAGGAAATCCTGGAGAAGGACAATAGAAGAGGCAAGGGTTGCCGGGCTTATAAAGAGGGCTGCCCAAAACCGAGTTCGGTGGAGACGTGTGACGTCAAACGAATATAATATTACTCAATCACTGCCACCAACGGAACTGAACTTTAAGAATTTATCTTTAGCCATTGACCTGAAAGCTTCGGCGGTGTAAAGGTTTAATTTTACAAGAACTTTTTTTTAAAAGCGAGTTAACAGCTGAGTAGCAAGTTTCAAAAATTATTTAAAAAAATAAAAAATGGTCCTTACTTCCTGTACCCCACACTACCATTTAGCTCTGATAAATGGCAACACTTTGTCACCGTATTCCACCCCACCTCTTTCTCCCCCCCCCCCACCGTCTCCATCCCCACCCCCATTTTGGTGTGGTTTATGGATGACCTTATACAGGTTAATATTCAGACTCATTGTTTAAGTGTCAATAGTTGACTTCTAGAAAATTGAAATTTCCAGTTGAAGTTTCTCCTCAACCCCCACCCCCACCCCCCATCCAATGAATGTGATTACAAATTGGCCAATATTCGAAGCAAATACAATCAAATTAATCACTATCCGATTTGGATTTGAACCAAATTGAGCTTTGATATATATCGGCGTCGGTGGTTTAAAGGTCAGCATTGTTGCTTTCTAAGCAGTCGATCCGCGTTCGACTCCCGGCTTTACTTTTTTCTTTTATAAAAGTCGTTAATATTAGATTTTTATTTTAAATTTTAATGATCCAAGTAAATATAATAACATCAACATGCCACTTATTACATAGGCTAAAAGTTCCGAAGTCACCCCCACAACTTCCATAAAATGAAGTCATACCTAAGATAACCACTTTTGCCCCACCCCCCTCCTCACAACCCCCACCCCAACCACCGCTTTAAAATTGCAGCTTTGTTTTTCTTAATATATCCATTTCTTTCTGAAATATTTGCTGAGCTGTTTCAACACTAAGCACATCAAAGCAACACAATCTTTTATTAAAAGGACAAAGTTTGTTTTAATTTCTTATTCTAATTGCATGTACACATTTTGTTATAATAAAGGTGTTAATATTTGTTGATAACGCGATTGTTTTGTTGTGGCTGTTGACTTGTAGTTTAATTTTTTTTTTTTTTTTTTTTTTTTTTTTTTTTTTTTTTTTTACAGTGTGCAAAGATTTTTTTTTTTTTTTTTTTTTTTTATACTTTTATTTGCAATTGAAACAAGTACATCAACATCAAATTTTTTAACATAATTTTGAACACCAAATGAAAAAGACAGGTATTGCAATTGTAGATAATGAATATTTACATGATGTCATGTATTTGATTATAAAAAATTGCAAAGGATGACAGTAAAAGGGGTGAAGGTCAAATGAAAGTGTCAGAAGTCTGGGTGGGGAGAGGAAAGGAAATTTTTCAGAGAGGGTCAATGGGACAGTGAGGCATTTTCTATGTAGGGAAACAACTTAAGTTGACTAGTTGAAAGGGTGTTGTAGTGGTCGCATTGAGTTTTCAAAAGGTTGCAGTGTGAAAGATGAGGGGAAAGAGACAAGATTTAGAACTTTAAATAAGTTCTGGATATTGATGTTGCGGTGGGTGGTGGGGTCGTTGGAACCGTTAAAGGGATTGTGGGGTTATCATGTCTGGGGGTAAGGTGGATAGAGGGGGAGAGAGGAGGGGGTAGATTTTTTATTTTTATTTTTATTAATTCAATTGTTTTAAACATTTAAATCAGTAATAATAATATATTTGATAGATTTTACATAGCATCAAAGACATGAACAATGAACATCAATTGCATATATAATAATCAAAGGGAAAAAATAAAATGGCATAAGAACTAGATCTAGATTAAAATAAGGTGTGCAAACTAGGTTTCTCTTCACTGCTTAGTTTAGTGTGCTGCGGAGTCAAAGGTTCACACTGTAGCCACCCATGGACAGAAATAGAAACGACTGTAGGAGAAGGGTCTCTGTAATCACGTACTGATCTATCATTCCAAAACTTTCCATGACATAAAATTGACCCTTGGCAATGAGGGCACGCTACCTTGAAATGTCCGCCAGTCCGGTTGAGTGGGGGGGGGGGGGGGAGTGTGTGGGTGTGTTGGTGGGGGGGGGGGGGGGGTTGAGGTGGGTTGAGTTGTAGTTTAAAAAATTTTATTAGCACTCCATTTTGTAATACCGGCAAAACATCTGTAGAAGCGTATCGTGTTAATTTATAAAGGTAAAAATGCAATAAAACAACGCGTTTTTGTTTTCGTATGTAGTCTCTTTGTTTATTGATTCCAAAAATAAAATGCTCCAATTACTAAATTAAACAACCAAATAGTGTTTTTGTTAATAAAGTAAACATTCATAAATATTATATAAATATTGTACTTCGCGACGTATTAATATTAAAATATTAACGAGAATACGTTTCTAGTTTCCCTTTAACAATGTTGTATTTAAATATGGGAGATAATTGACTGCACTTAGACAATCATCTATATATATAATTCTCTTCTGGGAGCCGTTAGAAAACAAGCTGCAAGCGCTCCTTACAGTCCCCTCTCTTCGTCTCTATCGCTACCACCCCCAACCCCCCCCCCCCCATGGTCTGGTGAGCTGTGGTTCACGCTGTTTACATTTTACAATCATAGAGACGGGTTTGGTGACGGCTATTAGGTGCAGATAATTTAGTTTGAAACGATTTTAAACTTAGAGGAGGTAACTAAGAGGAGGTCAATCTTCAAATCAATCACCGTCGATTCAACCACCGCCAGTTCGGAATGTCAAGTAAATCTAAGTCGGTCAATGTATCGGCGTCGGTGGTGTAAAGGTCAGCATGGTTGCCTTCCAAGCAGTCGATCCGGGTTCGATTCCCGGCTGACGCAAGATTCATTTTTACTTTTTTTGCTTTTACAAAAGTCGTGAATAGTAAATTTTTGTTTTAAATTTTAATGATCTTACGATATATAATAACATCAATGTACCAGTTATCACATAGACTGAAAGTCCGAAAGTCGCCCCCACACCTTCCATAAAATGACGTCATACCTAAGCTAACCACTGTTCTATTTCTAGTTGTTCAATGGTTGTAGTCGTACGTACACTTCAACTTGCCTTCAAGGTGTGTGACGTCAATTGAAGGTAAGAATACTCAAAAACCGTTAACAAATGATCAGAAGTTAGTATTCCCAAATTTGCGCATTAGAAATTATCTTTTCCCATATATAGTCCGTGGTGTAAAGGTCAGCATGGGGTCTTCCAAGCAGGCGATCCGGGTTCGATTCCCGGCTGACGAACTGATTTTTAATAAAATGTTTGTTTACCAAAAAAAATGAAATAATGGGAAATGGGAAATTACATATCTTGGCGACATAAGCTTTTATTAAAAGGAGAAAGTTTGTTTTAATTGCTTATTCTAATTGCATGTACAAAGTTTGTTATAATAAAGGACTTAATATTTGTTGATAACGCGATTGATTTGTTGTGGCTGTTGACTTGTAGTTTAAAATTTTTTTTTTTTTTTTTTTTTTTTTTTTTTTTTTTTTTTTTTTTTCCTTTAGGTGGGGTTTTTTCTTCACTTTATTCAAACAGTGAAAGTAATGTCTATATACATATTTTATAGAACATTTTAACTTATGTTACATTTGCAGGAAACAGCATAATCTAAATATTAAGGCATTTAATTGAACCCAAATACATTAAAATTTAAAACACACCGACTGAGTTATCCACAGCATTCCACCAGTACAAAAGTAAGGCATTCACATTCAGTAAAAATGTATTTTTAAAACAATAAATATTTATGTTCATGTCTTGTATTGTGTATACTGAGACAATGTATACACTGATGAAACCATATTAAATTTATATAATGTGACACACAGTATGTATTAGAAGTTGTTAAAACCTAAAATATACCTGAGTATAAATCAATAAAAGGGTAAATGAAATGCTAAATTTAAAATGTCAGTGTTATCTTGAAAGTTATTTACTGGTATTAATAATAAGCACTTTTTATTATCTTGATATAAAAAGGAACTATTTATTATAGTCATAACATTATAAATATAATAAGATTGAAGAACCGAAACAATTTGATTAATACAAGTAGAAACCATTGTTCATATTTTAATTTGGATATAAAGTTGTTGTTTCTCAAGGTTACACCACACATACACCCTTAAAAAATTCAACATTTTAACTATGATGTTACATGCTCCCTTCTCCTGAGATATTTTATTTTTACATTCTTTGTTGGTAAATTTAGCAATTCTTTAAAATATAGGCAGTGTTATACTTTCCAGACAAAAGAGGAGAAAAAAGTGATGGCATCACATCTTATATGTTATAGCACCCAGATCCTGACCTCATGATACTGCTGGTCTACATTTTTATCACGCAGATATTTTCTAGGAATAATAACAACATAGTAATAGAATAGTATCTTGGCATGTGAATAACAAGATTCAGTCCTTTTGTTGCATCTTTTTTAATTCCTCCAACACCTCTTTAGGAATGTCTATGTCTTTTAATCTAGTCACCTCGTCACCTTTAGCTGCCAAAATTTCCTCAATATTTCTTTTATTAACATCTTTAAACCATCCCAAATTGTCAGCAATTAAATGGTTACTCTGGCATTTAGAACATTTCACAATCACAACTCCCTCTTCATAAGATTTTTTAGAAAATGTATGGTTGTTTCTGGTTCCACATATTTTACACTTGTACAAGATTGCAAGACGAGGTACAAAATCTCCCAACTTTTTAGATTTTAGTTCATGTTGTGTTATATCAGACACATCAATGCTGTCATCATGAAGTTTGCTGGATGAGTTAAAGTGATGTTTAAACTGATAGTGGAGCTTATGGCAAATGTTTAATCTGATTTTATCTTCACTTTCGTTTTTAAAAACAGCTGATGTAAGTTTCAGTTTGTCTTGCGTTCTTTTTATCTTTGTAAAATGTGAATACGACGCGTGAATGTGTTTACATGTCTTGTGTATCTTTAATGTTCTCAAACAAGAAGACATTCTGCTAAAACAAAAAGACATGATTTTCTAATGTTTTTATCAAACGGTTAAAACAAACATATTTTTAAGTTCAATGAGATCCTCTGATTGCGATGTCCAAAAAAGTTCACCAGTCGAACAACTGAAAATGCGTATCGTGTTAATACATAAGAATAAAAACGATATAAAACAACGTGATGTTGTTTTCGTATGTAGTCACCTTGTTTATTGATTTCAAAAATAAAATGCTCCAATTACTAAATTAAACAACCAAATATTGTTTTTGTTAATAAAGTAAACACTCATAAATATTATATAAATATTGTACTTCGCGACGTATTAATTAAAATATTAACGAGAATACGTTTCTAGTTTCCCTTTAACTAGGTTGTATTTCAATATGGGAGATTATTGACTGCACTTAGTTAGCCAATCATTGAAATTATTTGTTTTGTTGTTAGGAAAATATCCCCTATACTAAAGACAATTTACCGAGCTCAAATTGCTACATCATAAGGGTTAGATGGGGGTGATGTCTTATATCTAGTTCTCAGATATTTTAAGAAATCATTTACGTCCCTATCAGAAATTATTGTAATTTTATTGTCTCTATATTTTTTTTCATTTTGTAACAAACCCGGCTTATTTACGAGTAGGCCTATATGTTACGTAAGATTTTTAAATAGAATTTTTCGATTCACCTATCAAAATATTGTTGATTTAAAGTCTAATACAAAAATCTAGGGACAAAAATCTACATTCGTTTTTAAATTAAGTGCCTTATTTTAATCAAGTCGCATGTTTTAATTTTTTAAAATGATTGTTATGATAGGCCTGCCACATTTTAATAGATTTACTTTTGGTTAATATTCCTCTTTAGATCAAACGATCTTTTTGGCAGATGAAGTAGAGTTCGTGTTTCTTGAACTCGGCATATGAAGGGATAATGTGGTGAGTACTATGCCCAGCCGCCTTTAACTTCGTAATCGTGAGTTAGGTACCCATCAGAGCTGGATGTATTCACGTATGTTCTACTGACTTGAACCAGGATTCGAACACGAGACGTCCAGTCTAGATAGATGTATAAAAATAAAATCATTTCTTTTTTTGCCTTAATCGAACAATTTTAAGATCCCAATTGAATAATGACTAAATTCCGTTATATTTTTAACATTTGTCAAAAGACTGACTCATTAGTAGAAAAAAGAAACCTATTTCTTCTAGGCCTCTGTCTTTTAAAGACAATTAAGATTAGAATATTTCTTTCTCACTCTTCACAATTTTTATCCTATTATTCTATGTTCGTCTGATTTTTTAATTATTTTTTTGATATCACAAAGTAAACGAGCTAAATGTAAAACTGCAAAGAAAGGAAAACCCAGCATATGCCATGCATGAAATGTGTTAAAATAAAATTACTTCATTGTTGAAAAAACGAAGAGCGGTAAATTACTTTATTTCGAAAAAAAATGAAAAAAATATCATGATAAAACCAACGCTACTATTAAGATTAATTACTTCAGCATTACTATAAAAAAAACAAAGTATGAGCTCACTGAGGGATTTGAAAATTCAAAAGATGCAAGGTTTAGGGCAGGGGTCGGCAACCTTTTGAAGCGGAAGAGCCAAAAGTTACAATTTTCAAAATTTCCCTGGTTTTAAAGAGCCACTAACTTTTTTTTTATTTCAAATATTTTATATTTTTATTCAGATTATTAGTATTTGTTCAAGGAGCTGGAGAGCCGCATCTTGATATCAAAAGAGCAGCATGCGGCTCGCGAGCCGCAGGTTGCCGACCCCTGGTTTAGGGGTATGACTTCGACTATGTTTAGTATTAATATGCAGCAATAACTACGCGCAGATCAAGCTTAATTCCGGTTATAATGCCGATTCTGATCAGAAATCCGTTTTCAATAACATTTTTCGTTTCTGGTTAAAATTACAGTTGAGGTGATGATTTTGTTTTTAGTTCCAATTTAGAGGAAAAGACATTATCAACCTAGCGCCCGTTGTATCTCTCCCTCAACGGCAGTGTTTCTTCCAGACTTTTTTTCCGGGGGAGGGGGTAATCTTCGGGGGGGGGGGGGGGGGGGGGCGGTAAGATTTCTTCGGGGGGGGGGGGCGGACACTGTTAAAAGTATATATTTTCTATATAAATTATATAAATTTCATTACGTTCGGGGGGGGGGGGGGGGGCGGTAAAAATTTTCGGAGAGGCTTCGCCCCCCCCCCCCCCGAAGAGATGCCTGGAAGAAACTGCTCAACGGGCCATTTGTCTCGTTATTAATATTTGTGCATAGAGCTGAAGAGCCGCATCTCGACATCAAAAAAGTCGCATGCGTCATATGCTTTTATTAAAAAGAGTTTTTTTTAATTTCTTATTTTCAAAGGATACAAAAAGTTAATTTTTTTTAAAGCTTTTCAATTTTGTTATTTTAATAGTCATAAAATAAAGTGTGATTGCATTGTTTGTTGTAGCTGTTTGCTTGAAGATTTTTTTTTTTTTTTTTTTTTTTTTATTGATTTTTTTTTTTTTTTTGCTTGAAGTTTAGAGAAAAATAATTAGTTACCTCTTAAGCAAACACTCACATTACTTAAAGGCATATCATTTATAATTTAACTATAAAAATGTCATTAAACAACAGCGTGTTTATTTTCGTATATGGTCACCTTGTTAATTAATGTTAGACATAAAATACATTTATTACTAAACTTTACAATAAAACGTTTGTTTATAGTTAAGAAAATACTTAGACTAATAAACTTTATATAAACATTGTACTTCTCAAAGTATTAATTAAAATATTAACACGAATTTATTTTTAGTTTCCCTTCAACGCTGTTAAATTTTAACATGGGAGATAATAAATAGCTCGCAGTAAGGCAATTATTAAAATTAGTCGGTTTGTCGTCAGGAAAATATCGCCTATACTCAAGACAATTTACCTAGCTCAGATTGTTACACCAAAAATGGTTAGGTGGGGGTGACGTATTATGGCCTCGTTCGCAGATATTTTGAGAAATCATTTACGTTCCTATTAGAAATTATTATAATTTTATTGTCTATATTTTAATTTTTATTTTGTTACAAAGACGGCTTATTTAAGAGTATGTGTAACGTATTTTATTTAACAGATTTTTTTTGTTTACCTATTAAAATATTGTTGGTTTAAATTTTAATACAAAGGAAATATAAACTACATTAGTTTTTTTTTTTTAAATTCAGTGCCTTATTTTATTCAAGTCGTATGTTTACTTTTTTAAATGATTGTAATGATAGAGCTATTATATTTTAAATGATTTACTTTGGTTAAGATTCCTCCATAGATCAAGCGATCTTTTGGGCAGATAAAGTAGAGTTCATGTTTCTTGACCTCGGCATATGAAGGGATAATGTGAAGAAAGTTGTAGAAGAAAGTTCAACTGGAAATTTAAAATTTGTATAAGTCAACTATTGACACTATCAGATGTGAGTTTTTGGGACTATGTGTGACAATGGGGGATGGAGGAATAACTATTTGGGACTAAATGTGACAATGGTGGATGGAAGACTTTTTAGGACTATGTGTGACAATGGGGAGATGACTGACTTTTTGGGACTATATGTGACAATGGTGTACTGCGTTTTTTGGACCATATTTCACAATGGAGAGGTGGTTGTAAAATAGTTTTTTTTTTCTTAAATGTGACGTCGACATTTTTTTGTTCGGTTGAATGAGATCTAGCAAAGTAGGCTACTGGTGAAAACAGACACTTGAACTAGACTACGCTGAGCTTAGACTGTTTTACATTAGTCTGGAGAAAGGTGGAAATTTGACATGGTCTAAGTTGGTAGTGCATCTGCGTCGGTGGTGTAAAGGTAAGCATGGTTGCCTTCCAAGCAGTCGATCCGGGTTCGATTCCCGGCTGACGAACTCTTTTTTAATAAAATGTTTGATTACCAATATAAATGCTATAATGGGAAATGGGAAATTACATATTTTAGCTTCAAAATCTTTTATTAAAAGGAGAACGTTTGTTTTAATATTTCTTACTCTCATTGCATGCACAAAGTTTGTTATAATAAAGGAGTTTATATTTGTTATTTTACTAGTTAAAGAAACAAAATAAAACCCGATTGTTTTGTTGTGGCTGTTGACTAGTTACTGACTAGTATTTAAAAAAAATAGTTAAGTGTCTGCTTTAAATTGTATTTAGAAATACCTACAAAGGCGTATCGTATTAATTTATAAGGATAAAAATGCAATAAAACAACGGCTTTTTGTTTTTGTATTTAGTCACCTTGTTTATTGATTTAAAAACTAAAATACTCCAAATGCTAAATTAAATTGTCAAAATAATCACTATCCGATTTGAATTTGAATGAAATTGATCGCTATGTATCGGCGTCGGTGGTGTAAAGGTCAGCATGGTTGCCTTCCAAGCAGTCGATCCGGGTTCGATTCCCGGCTGACGCAATTATATTTTTTTAATTTTTTTATTTTTTACTTTATTTCTTGTTCTAGAAAACTTTTTTTTTTAAAACTCGTAATAGAAATGGATTAGAATACTTTATGTTGACAGAGTTCAGACATGATTTTGGAAAACATATCGATGTTTTAAAAACAATTCAACTGTAATAGTGAGGGCGTTTGTAGGCTGAGGTGTGACGTGATTTTTGTGACGATGTGTGACGGAGGGGAGGTAAAAATTGTCCAAAAAGCTTAATTTAAAGTCATTTATGGATGACATCTAAAAGAAATAAATATGTTTATTTCTCAATCACTGTTAACTAATGATCATATATCTTTTAGTTTTTTCTGACGTATGTCGGCGTCGGTGGTGTAAAGGTCAGCATGGTTGCCTTCCAAGCAGTCGATCCGGGTTCGATTCCCGGCTGACGCATATGTTTTTTTTTTTAACAAGATTTTGTGATAAATCAAGTTTAAACTGTAACTATAAACCACTCTTTCACCCCCCCCCCCCCCACCCTATTTGTGAAAACTTGGAGTTACATTTCACGAGTCTTTTGAGTGAAATAGACCAGTGAAGAATATTATTAGCCATTTTTGAACTTGATGTTGAAAACTGAACAGTGAACAATGATTTAGTAAATGAAACAGTTTCTGATTTAATTTTGTTAT